GCATAAATATTGAATATCTGGGATAAGGCCCCCCTTCACATCCAGTCATCCCTCCATAGTTGCACTCTCTTTCCTGACCCACCCTCCAACCAATACACCCTTGGAAGTCCCCTCTCTCCATACGAATTCTCTTCCACATCTCCAACTCATGTAGCCTCCTCAGCAATTCAGAAAACCATCTCATTCCTTCCACCACGTGCTTCTCCATTATCCATTTCCACAAATAACTACCTTGTTCCTTCATAAATCTCCATTTTCCACTTTTCTTGTAATGTTTTATTAAATTCAACAAGTGATCTCAAACCCAAACCACCTTCTATTAAAGGTTGTTTCAGTTTGTCCCATGTCAACATCTGGTGTTGTGAGCATACATCTAACTCCAGATTAAGCAATTGGGGAGTTAAAAAATTTCTTCCGAATAGAAGTGGCCTACTTAAAGTTAGGAATATTCATTTCCCAATAAAAATGTCATTGATATACTAAAGGAAACTGGCAAATTTGCATGCAAGCTCGCTAACACACTTATTGATCCCAATTAGAAACTAGGACTGGCAAAAGAAGACTCAGATGTGGACAGGGAAATGCACCAAAAACTAGAACGTAAATCGGTATACTTGTCATATACAGGCCAGACATTGCATATATTGTTAGTCTAGTGAGCCAGTTCATGCACAATCCTAAAAAAATGCAACTACAAGCAGCCTACAAAATATTTCACTATTTGAAGGGCATCCCGAGGAAGGGAATTATTATTATTTTTTTTTTAAATATAAGAGAAGTAATATTATTCACAAAGGTACTAAGGGAGTACCAACCATGTACATAGCATAGTTACAAGTCAATTAAGTAGTCCATAACTCTCCCAAAATCATCCCAATTTTTTATGTCATGACTTAACAAAATAGGACCAAAAGTACAAATCGATCTATTTTAATATTTGTAATGTTAGTTTCAATGCTCTCAAAAACTCTCATATTTCTTTCCTTCCACACAATCCAAAAATAGTTAGCGGAATAGGAACAAATGGTTTTTCTTCTTACAATAACCTGTCCAAGCCCACAACTCTTTACTCACATTTTCAGCCATAACCCAACTTAAGCCCAACAAACCCAAGACAGTATTCCAGATGCTGTAGGTCGTCGAGTACCACAAAAGTAGATGATTGCATGTCTCCTCTTCTGATTTGCAAAAGTAGTATCTGTTAACCATGGTATTACCTCTTTTTTTAAGCATATCAATAGTCAAAATGTATTCCTTAGCGGCTTCCCATGTATAAAAAGTCATCCTAGGAGGGACCCCAGTTTTCCAAATCTGTTTAAAGGGTGCTGAAATGATATCAGTTCTATCATTTATGCATAGATAATTGTACATCGATTTCACAGAAAAACCATTTTTCTCATCAGGCTTCCAGACTCTTATGTCCCTAGTTTCCTTCACCTTCATGCTACCCAAACCCAAAAGCTGGTTGCAGTAGTCATTGATTTCCCAGTCCTGCAAGTTTCTTGTAACTTTCACATTCCATGCTTTCCCCTCACCCACATTTTCATACATGTCCTTCACCCTCGCCTCCTTATTGCTAGCAATATCAAAAATTCTGATAAAGCGTTCTTTAAGTTTAAATCTTCCCATCCATTCATCCTCCCAAAATCTAATATCCTCACCATTACCAAGCTGCCACCCCACACAGCCCTTAAATAAATGGCTGTCATCCCGAGGAAGGGAATTATGTCCAAAAGAAATAATAAACTGCTTCTTAAAGCATACATTGACGCATACTATGTTGGATCATCATTTGACAAAAGATCCACCTCTGGGCATTGTACTTTTTCTTGGGTGGAATCTAGTGACTGGAGAACTAAGAAGCAAAATGTAGTAACCCGATCTAGTGTAGAATCAGATTTTAAGGCTATGACCCAAGAGGTGTATGAGCTTCTATGATTGAAGATGATTTTAGAAGATTGAAGATTCAATAGGATTGACTTATGAGACTCTACTGCGAAAACAAGTTAAAGATTAACAGTGCTCATAATCCAGTACAACATGATAAACCTAAGTACATTGAAGTAGACATGCACTTTATTAAAGAGAAGTTGGATAGTGGGCTGATTTGTACTCCATACATGGCCACCACTTAACAATTTGCCAATGTTTTGACTAAAGGATTAAGTAATTCTGGATTTCAGACAATCATTGTCAAGCTGTTGATGAATAATATCTATTCACCAGCTTGATGAGAAGTGTCAAAAATACGAATTAAAGCTTCATTAGGGCAAATGGTATATTAGTAATATACCTTGGATCTTTGTAATCTTTGTAATTACTATACCTTGGATCTTTGTAATTTTTCTAATTAATATTGTTTCCTTCCATTGTTGCTATTCACTTATATATATATAGGGTCCCAATATTCAATGAAATCATACTAATTCATTTTTCCACAAAAATTAAAATAGTGAAAAAAAAACTATAACAATAGAGTTTTCCTTTTTAAAAAGGAAAAAGACTTGCCTTATATAGTCTCAAAGAAAACAAAAACAACTCCCTTCTGAAGGGAAGGTCGTTTTCCCTCTTTTATTGGTTCCATTTTCCTTCAACCAGAAAAGATTTTGCAATTGACTTTTATTCTTTTACCAACCAAAGACAAGAAAAGAGGAAAATTACTCTTAAATGGAAACTTAAGAAAATGGGAACGGATTCCCACAATCTGAACTCAAGCTGATCTAGTTCCATCTCAAAATTTGGTAGGATGACAATTATGTGAGCTTATCAGAAGTAATCCAACTTTAACACTGCTATTTAATAAGAAGGAAAGAGGATAACTGGTAGAGAAAGAGATGAAGCAGGCAATTGCAGAAGATATATTAAAATGCAAACTAGAATGTCATTTTCATAGTCAAGTTTGACAAGTTCGGCCGCCTCCTGGCGCTGCCGCAAGAAGCTACAATTAAGAAAACTTGGATCTCATGAAAATGCTAGAAGTAAATTGTAAAATAAGTTTGGACTAAAACAAAATCCACAAAGACTTTAAATCAAAAGAGACTTTAATTTATAGACCTAGAGAGGTAGAATAATAAAAAAATATATTTATATTTTCAAAATAAAACTGAAATAAAACCAACAAACCTTGCACAGAGATGCAGCTGACTCAGACTCCATGGTTTGAATTTGAACATTCCCAATTGACTGGAAGGTGTCCAAGGCATCTAAAGTTAGTTGCCATCCACAAAGTGCCACAGCACCAGAAGAACTGGAGCCAATATTACTACAACCAGCAGCAGCTACATTTCCATTTACCCAAGGACAAAAACAATTATGATGCTTAATTGGATCAAATTCCATGGCTTCGTCATTGATGCTTTCTCCGTTTGGGGGCCCTGAATATGAGTTATCATACTCCAGAGGTCACTTCCAACACAATGATTTGAAATGAAAATACTAACAACAGCCAGAAGAAACAAATGAAATTCTATTTGTACCTAAAAAACAAACAAGGGAGTTCAAGGGTGGGGAAGACCTAGTTGGATTCAAAACATTCCTAAGATTCATATGATTAACATATTTAAATGGCTAGGAAGAAGCTAACAAATTTAGGACTGAAGTAAACCAGTGAATGATTCTTCAGCCAATAAGAGAAATAACTTTAGAAAAATGCCCAGCCACAACAAGAAAATGTCTTTTGAACCCATGACAAAACATGTTGATCAGATGGAAAGAAATGGACGAAATTCTGATTGAAACTTTATAAACATAAGTTCAAGGGTGGGAAAAAGCAGTTGGCTGAAAAGTACCATTGACACATCAAACATAGGTAGAAAGTTGCTAAGTTATGAGCTTGTAAGAGTAAAACAGTAAATGTTTTAGGAGCCCATCAGAGAAATCATAATGAAAAGAATTTTCCAGTCTCAACAAGAAAAGAGATGTCTTTTGAACGCAAGAAAAATAAAGTCATGGCAGTCAGATGAAAACTTGTATCAAAATAACCACATACTATTTATCCTTAAAAACATATAAAAAACAAAAGCCCCACACTAAAGCAAGTGCTCTCCTTTAACTGACTCAACAAACAGCTTCAATGCTACAGTATTATAACCTTTTTTGCTACAGAAAATTTATGAGATCTTTCAGCTTGGCAGTGCAAGACTTTTGATGCTTCATTCCCAATCCATCTGGTCTATTCCCATCCATCAAAACACCGAGCTACCATTGATTTCAGAAAAAAGAAAACACCTAGCTACCATATTTGAAAGTAAAAATTGTTCAGACATCTCTCTTGAGCATTCAGACTCTCCCTAAGAGCTTCTAAATCGGAAAACATCTAGAAACTACTTTCCCTAGTGCTAAAAAACTTACTGCTCCTTCATTTTCATTTGACTAGCATTTCACATGCACTTCTAAACTGTGTGCTATTTCACATGCAACAGTAGATAGTGTACATGGGTGTAACCCCCATGTTTGTGTGTGTGTGTAGAGAGAAAGAAAGACTCAAGGAAGGAAAAATAATGTACCTATGCCATTAGCAACCATATATCCTGACTCAAGGAACGCACAATCTATAGTTGCTGATGCCTTGCCAG